AGATAAGGTAATGTGATCAGATAAGGGTGGTTGTCAATGGAGTTGAAGATTGAACGATCAATTCATGGTTGTTTGCTCAAAATCAACTTCCCCAATTTTCGCGGAGGCATCAATACGACAGTCATCGTCTCATCGGTCGCTGTTCAGAAAGAAGATTGAAACATCGTCAGAAGTAATACAGAGATTTATTATTGTAATATTTGTTTTCAGACCTTAGTTTGCTTAGTTCGCTTATTCCTTTTATATGTTGGTGTAACAATACAGAAATATCAAACGGCAGATCGGTGTTTTGGTTTTTGCGTCCGTTATAACTAAGCGTTTCTGAGAAATCTTCTAAGAACAGCGTGGGCCCGAGCGTAGCGAGAGCTGGGCATTAACGGTTTATGAGACATGATTGACAGTTTCTGACGATGGAAACAGATCTGGCGGATTGAAACAGTTGGTGAAAGTTTGGATAGTCACCGTTCATCTTTCCTGGTGCCGGTCAAGTCCTCTTTGAACAAGCAATATCTGGAACTTTTTGGAATTGGGTCAAGTTCAACAATGCCTGGGTCAAAGAAGGGACAGAGTGTCTTGGATGCAAACAGGAAAGTAAGTCATGGTGACTTGTCTGTTAATTGTAACGATGTGTCTGATGTTAAGTATGACATGGTTGATGTTACTGTTTCGCCGTTCAGGGATAATAGGAACATCAAACTCCCTAAATTTGAACCACGGTGTTTTGATGGAAACCCGGCCGATTATTTACAATTTGTAAAGGAGTTTGAGATCATGTTGAGTGGTTTTTTATTAAATGATGAATTGAAGTTAATGTATTTGATGAGATATTGCACTGGAGATGCTGCAAGAGCTATACAGTGTTGTAAGTTTATGAAGCCAAAAGAGGGCTACTACGAGGCTATGAGCATATTACGTCAAAGGTTTGGAAGACCTTCGATGATTGCAGGGAAATTATTCGAGGCTGTTAAGGGTAATGGTGGTCAATTACAGGATGACTCCCAGGCACTCACTGAGTTTTTAGATAATTTGCTAATTTACAAGAATGGAATGATTTCGATGAATCGCATGAGTGACCTCAACTCGAGTTTTATACTAGAAGTAATAGCAAGACGTCTACCTACTCGACTGCAAAGGAAGTGGGTGAAGATGAGCTCCCGTATGGAGGATGAGGGTATCGAGCCAAAGTTTGATGATATCCTGAAACTGGTAAATACTAGTGTCAATCAATCTATGAGCAAGTTCGCCAGTCTATTGAATCTCACCCCTAGAATAGAGCAGTCTGAGATCAAAATGCAATCATTGATGACGAGTAGGCCTCAGAGAGGTGGATATCGAGAAAGCTCCATGATGTCTAGTAATGCATATAGACCTAGTGAGTGTAACAGGTTTCGTAGTACATCCTCAACAGATAAGTTACAAGATGCAAGACAAACACGGTTTTGTTTTACACGTGTGCAAGAGGTGCATACAGAAGTGAACTGTGAACCAGTGAGCAAGTTCAGTGATAAGCTAAATGTAAACTCCAGGCCTGACTCCGAATTGTGTGACGATAACGGTGCGGTGAAGAAGTCTGTAGTTGCAACTGGTAAGCCGTTGTTGAATAGAGTGTCACAGAATAGAGTTGCTGCTTCAGAGTGCAGTTCTGACCCTACAAGTTTACAAGGTATTACTAGTCAGAGTGAAGGTATAAAACCCTTAATGATTTGTGAGGAGGAACCAAAATTGTCTACTTCTGTTATTAAAGAGTTTGAAAATGATGAAGTTGACGGTAAAGTGAATATTCGTGATAATGATCATGATACTTCACAGTTGTCTTTGGTTGATCATGATGAGATGAGGGATATGCCTACTACTGCTAAGTTAAATAAAGGTTCTGTACAACTACAACGTGAAGTAGAATTGAACGCAGATGCAGTTCCAGAAGGTGTGCATACTTGTGAGACAGTCAGTGTAATTGATCAGCGTGTAGCCCACCTATCATCAGATGATAGTGCTAAACCCGAACTAGTAGTGAAAGACAGCAGTGGTGGTAATCTTGCAGTTGGACAACTATCTGAGAGCCGAACAAGAACAGCTTCTGATCCACCACTAAGTTCATCACCTTGTGTCACTCAGTCATCGTTGGTGTTTTCATCCACAATGAAACAGATGCCCATCAACTCAAGTATCTTGTGCAATGACTATGATAGTATTGGTTCGTTTGAAAGGACGAAAGATATTGGTCAGTTTAGTGTGGATAAGCCAAGTGTAAAGGAGAGAGTTATTGTTAAATTGACTTGCACGAATAAAGGCATTTCTAGTTTCAAGTTACTATTTGAATGTTATTATCTTTGGTGTAAATTACTCTGTTTCTATACTTGGTTGATGAGATATGTCGTGTGTTTGTTGGTCATCTATATTCTACGATACAATGACATGGGCGTGTTGCCGTTCAGATTTGAGGATATAGCTGATAGAAGGAAGTTAGCAAATGAACTCTGCGACGATTTTCCAACCTAGGGCGTCAACCTGAGAAGGGTTGTAGGCGTACTGGTGTAAGTCCTACAGTTCTTCAAGGGTAGTTTGTCGTGTCAGAATCCACAACATTTGATGTGTTGATTGTACATATGTTTGTGTTAAATAATTGTGTGAGTTCCAATTATCGTAATTGTTGGTTAATCTTGTTTGTGTCCGTACATTCCACAAATTACAATCGTCAAACTTTGAAGGGTTGTAGGCGTACTGTTGTAAGTCCTGCAATTCTTCAAAATAATTCCATCAAGACATGATCCGCGAGGTTATTTGTACTGTTTGCGTATACGTGTGGTGTGTCTTCGCAATTTGTGATTTTGGATCAGTTGTGTTTACTCGTTGTTTTCGTGCCTTGTTTTTATTGCATAATTTTGTTAAAATTTTCGTCGTGATAACTTCTGAAGTTGTTTCGAGTCTTCTACATCCGTGAATGAATTGATTGATGTTAGAGACAGCAGATGGGTCGTATACGCCGGGGAGGCTAGGCTATTGCTGAGAATGAAACGCACACGGAGATAATTGTTAGCTGCGGTCCGACACGCCGGGGAGAAAGAGTGTAAACGACTGAGGCTCGCATGCGTCACCGTTACTAGAACTGAGGCAGAATGAGTGACAAGCGATTTCAATGGTAATTGGTAGTGAGTAATTAAGAGGATGTGCGTAGAGTATCGTGAGGTGCTGCCATGGTCACTTTGCATTCTGCAAGAGTCATTCTAGCAAATGGCGATTGTGTTGCAAGATGTCAAGAGGAGGTCTCTGTCTGGAGGCGCAGGTCGTCATTGATGTGTGAGATTGTGCTGTGGGTATGCTTGTGGTGTATTGGCTTTCCTGTTTGTTTTCCATTTCAGCTCTGTCCGTGTGACACAGGTTCTCGCAATGGCATCCAAGTCGAAGTGCATTGGTCGTGAAGGAAAAAAGGGTTGGATCCGTATTTTGCCGGGGAGTGTCAATGGAGTTGAAGATTGAACGATCAATTCTTGGTTGTTTGCTCAAAATCAACTTCACCAATTTTCGCGGAGGCATCAATACGACAGTCATCGTCTCATCGGTCGCTGTTCAGAAAGAAGATTGAAACATCGTCAGAAGTAATACAGAGATTTATTATTGTAATATTTGTTTTCAGACCTTAGTTTGCTTAGTTCGCTTATTCCTTTTATATGTTGGTGTAACAATACAGAAATATCAAGCGGCAGATCAGTGTTTTGGTTTTTGCGTCCGTTATAACTAAGCGTTTCTGAGAAATCTTCTAAGAACAGCGTGGGCCCGAGCGTAGCGAGAGCTGGGCATTAACGGTTTATGAGACGTGATTGACAGTGGTCCTACAGTATACACACTTCTAGCAGTTTAACGCGATGTCTAATTAGCTATTTATATGTAGATAAATGTCATGAGTACATAATGAATCTAGAAATGTTTCAAGATGTAATTATTGACTGAAACAATAAAAGGTTTTCACCAACTGTAGCAGATAATGTGGATAGCAAAATTTATATTTCACAGAAGGGTATGACGCAATCCCATATGTTCTTATCACAAAAAGCAATATTTAGTAATTTAATTTTTTTTAAATTTTTAAATATTTGATTACAGCTTGATGCCACACCGTATTTTTGGTACAAGTATGGAATTTTCAGCATGGATATCGGTAGCCGAAATTTTGCAGGCCGACCATAGATATCAGGTGTGCGTCGGCAGGGGATCGAACCTAGTACCATGTGCTTGGTCAGCGAGAGTCCTAACCACTGTGCCACCGACGCACTAAAGAATTAAGGAATTACACGCTGAAAAATACAACTTTCGAATACACACTAAAGTTAACGGTTAATGCCCTGCTGTTCGTTTAACTCAGGTGAGAGTTTTAAATGCTATAAGTTGAGCCACAACAGTTTAACTGATTTCGCTTCTGAGATTATAAATTTTTAAAATGCCTCCAACTACCTAATATCATCAAATCGATGTGCTCCGTGATGGTAAACCACCTAGAATGGTGGCCATATTGCAAACCTGACCGATGGAATTCAGTCATCACGAAAGAAAGAACTAGATGCATAACACTAATTACTAGTGTCCGACCAAACTACCCACGACAGTCCTACAGGAGGTCAATCACGAGCCTGAGTAGCTCGGTGGTAACGTCACTGACTGCAGAACCAGTTAATGCGGGATCGAATCTTAGGAGGGACATGAGTTCCTTCAAGGCTGAAAATACTCCCCGCCAATGAGTGCTAACTAGCACGAAACCTAAGTCTAAGGCTTCCTGCCGACTGCCTCCAACTATCTAATATCATCAAAATGCAAACATGTTTTCATGATCACTGATGATAACACTACTCTTACTCTGCAGTTTAAGCCTCATTAGAATAGGAGAATATTAAATCTGTTTATCTGCTGGCATAGAAAGCTTCATAATTGAAAACAAGACCTTTATTTTTTATATTGGAACATTTTATGTCGGAATTTGTTTGTACTTGGTAATGTTTATTGTTGTTGGTACTTCACTTGGGCGCGTTTACGAAGCCAGTTGGGTGTTTTCTCTGTTAAGGTTGTCTGAACTGGGAGCTGGCATTTGAAGCTAGAGGGAATCTAGATTAATATATTGTTATAATCTGAAGGCATTGCATAAATCTTAAATGAAAAGCTAATGTTCGTCACTCGAGGAGCGTACACATCAAGTAGCAACACATCTATTCAAACAGCTGATATTCCGAAAATGGTCCTTGGGTGTGGTTTTCAATTAGACTGTCATATGGAATCTTCAAAACACAACTTTGTTAATTTGGAGGAGTTTCCTGCTCTGACAAAGTCAAAGCCAATTAGTTTTAGTGGTGCGGCATGGAAGAAACAAATTATTCTACCGATCGAGGACTTCATGGAATCAGAAAGTGCTGGTAATGATAGTCTATCTGTTTTGAAAAAGAAACGCCTGAAGAAAAAGAGGAAACAAACCTTGTTCAATGAAGGCAGCACTTCTGGTGATAGTTCTCCAACCAAAGATAACGACGGGTGCTTCTTCTCAAGCGAAGAAGTTAGAGATACAGGTATGTTTTTAATCCTGTTTGAGGGAAACATTTTATTGGATTTATCTAGCTTCGATTACCTTAAAAGTGGTCGAGTACCACTTTTGTTTGGCTTAAAATTTGGATTTTATGTTAGCAAAAAACATATTCCATTCCCCTTCTTTTATGAATTTTATATAATTATTATCCATGCTTTCGGAATACGTATAGTTTTTGGGAATGTGTGCATATTCTGTGGAACGTAGGGCTTTTACGTATATTTTAAAAGGATTCATCAATGTGATTATAATCAGAATTGAATGTGATAATGTGTTACTTATCTTGAGACTCACCTTTATTTATTCCTAACTGGAGCATCATTATAAAACAACTTGAAGATTGGCGTTCATGTGGAAAGTGTTCAAGTTGCATTTTAACAACTGCACTGATGACCATCCTAGATAATTACACTTATAGTAATTTCGCTGATTAGGAGTAGGGTATAAATAATTGCTACCAATCATTTGAACACTGGCGACTCAGCGTGTAAAACCGGTTTTTGGCCTGGGAGAAAATGTGTTTACACATCCTGTGCAGCAGGTGTTCCGAATCCATTTAGGAAGCGAGTGGTTGCGCACTTATAAAGCATTCTTGGATGTTGAAATTGATCCACACTGATTAATTGACTTAATGCTCCTTTAAATCTGGCTTGTGCTCAGAAAAATGCTAGTGTTTGAGTATGTAGTATAAAGACCTAATTATCAACGGAGAATAAATAAAGGAGTGTAAGGTCAGATCTCTTGACAAGTAGGATTCGAGTGGAGCAAATAAACTGTGGTCTTATCACCTCTTCGGTCACCTTAGTCATCATGATGAGATGCCCATTGTCTATGTGTAGACAAAACACAGCATTTTTATCGACCTTGCAGCGAAAATTCAGTTGTAAGAGAACTACAGTTCCCTTGATAAACTATCTAAATACCTCTTTTCAAATCATCCAGTTTCCACATTATCAGTGACGAGTGTGATGAACCGGGACTTGGTTGAGTAATAAAGGAATCAATTTAACTACAAGTTGTTGTTTCTTTCCTCAACTCAGGACTCAGATAGTTATTTTGGATTTACTATGTATGAATTTGAAATGGTTTTCATGCATATCTTGGGGTTTATTGACTTCAAGTTGGTGCGTGACGCCTCTGTAATTGTCATTCATTCGAGGTAGTTGTGATAATTAATTAACGACATAAGACAAAGTAGAGATTTAAGTGGTGCTTCAAACAAACATGAAATCTAGTGTGTTTTGTTTGATATGGTAGGTATTATTTTTATATTTTCGACTGGTGAGATGTCTTAGGATAATATCACAACAGGTGGTAATTGTAGATTTTTTAGCTTAGCTGATGACACATGTAAGTGAGCCAAGTTCTTCAGATATCAACTGTTCTGTACTTGACTTACAAACCAGATGTTTTCAGCATTTTCGCAGCAACTCTATTTTATATGTTACCGTAATTAACAGAATCGGATATCTATGACGTCAAACCTGGCAGCAAGCTTAGTCGGATGTAAATTACTGACGACATCTGTGACGTTATTAACGTAAGTTGGATGAAACATTTAGGAGGTATTTTCCTGAGAAATCACCACCCATTACTTCAGTATGCAGTAATGTCCCAAGCATGAGTAGAATGGTAAGCAAAATTAAGAGTAGTAGTAGTAGCAGTATTCGCATTAACATTGATGTGTCAAGAGCCTGGTTAAGTGTTTTTTATGTTGTATTTCCAGATGTTAGTCAATTATCGCTCTGTGAAGCCCAATTCGAATTCCTTAAAAGGTGAGTTTATTCTGGTACAAAACTTATGTACCACTGCCTTGAACTTGCAACATGTTTCCTCTTTACTGATGAATTTAAACAACTTCATCTTCATTAAAGTATTTTTGTAAATCACATTGGACTAATATTACCATGGTGATTTATCGGTTATTACTCTCCTTACTTCAGTGTTGCATAACCTTAATTTTTTGTTTAGAAGACTAGTTATTAGAGTTGTCTAATGAAGCAGAATTGTAAGAATACTAATGCTCATAGAGTGGAACTACCAAATGAAATCTAGCACACATGCATCATGTATTCACTTTCAATTGCTTCCAGTTCTGGAGACAATCTGCTGACATAGTTGATAGGCTCAAATTCGCTGCAAACCACTTAATTAGGTCCTTATATTTCCTTATTACAAATTTAAAATAAAAAACGCCTATCCAAGTTAAGCACCAGTAAGTACCAGTGAAATCCGACAGCACCTTGAAACTCAGTAGGCGAGCTAGGGATACCTGGTAAATAATATTGTAATCAGGCTTAGGTTAACCTAATGAGCGCGACACTAGGGTTGCTTTCGGGATATGTTCATGTTAGGGTTAGGTTAAGGAAAGATTACGGTTGTTGTTAGCGTTAGAAAACTGGATAATTACATCCACAGAGTGTGGTTAAATTACTCTGTTGACACTTCAATCCAAAAGTTAGAGGTGTTTTTGCCACACGTTAGACAAAGACATCCTGTCTGTATAACAGTTTACTGCTTTTTAATTCACTATTTTCATGAATATATGTATTTCATATACACAAATTGCCTTTATCATGTGGTTGGTACGTTCAAGGTCATTCGTGCGTTGGTACTTACCGGTGCCTAAAGTTTAACTTTGCCACAAGCTTTACAAAACGTCGATAAAAAAACCTCATCTACTGACAATACACATGAGTTCACTGTGAGACCATGCCTACCACTCACATTCATTAACAGAACCAAAGCATTCATAATACTGTTCCAGATTGACTAAAATCATGATTATACAAATCATTTTCAGGTGAAAATGGGGACATTTCTCTTTTGTTTCCAGTCCGTCTGAGTAACAGGAGCGAGTTAGCTATCTACTCTCTAGGTTGGTGGGTAACGAACTTAATTGAAAAAGGTGTTATTCAGGGTTTTAAGCATTTCAATCTGATCAGCAAGACTCACTAATCGTTTTCAAACATTGTAGTCGATTCCTAAGCCTGTTGTTATCCGTATTTATAACGGTAGACTGAGTTTACGAATTGTTACGTGTGCATAAAGTGTGTAGTTTACATTTTGTATTTAAGGAATTTACCTTGGTTTTCAATACTACTGTCCTACTATTGGTACCTCCAGAAAAAAGTAAGAACAGATAGTGTGAGCTAATTTCCTTTTGGATGACTGTATAAGAGGCTTACCAAATGTTTGTGATAGTTCCTCGTGTCATCGTTGTTCCCTAAATGGATTTGTTATATAATCTCCGATAAAGTTTAGTAAAGTATGTGTTTGGCAAACTTTACCCGTCTTCCTGGTTCGCCACTGACTCTCTTCAACGTTAGTTAGATATGCGTTTTATATGGCAAATTATAAATTTTATTTTTGGATTTCCTAAGTACCTTGTTGAACAAGTGGTATAATTTCACTTACTTTCTCTTACCACTAAAAACACTGACCACTCCATCTCTATCAGAACCTGAAATATTTCTAAAACATCCTTTTTAAAGTGCGATTTTATATTCATTTGTGCATCTTATTACAAGTTTTATTTCTGTTTATTTATCCCTTGTTTAGTACAAATTGAGTAAAACAGACACTAGATTAGTATTCTACCTGATGAAAAACCACTAACGTGTATCATATCTTCCTACCAGTCGTATAGTCTTATATTCAAACGTTCCTGTTTTCGATTGGGTGTGTCTGACCTTTACCTAAATTTCGAAGAGAATCGTCAGGTGACCTACGCACGCCTTTGTTATAATATTAGTGTCCGTTCATCTATACCATATCCTAGATATTAGACGCTAGTTGCGTAGGTGTTTCCCTATCTGAAATCAGACAACAACAAAACATACATAAATTTGGTCTTACCTACGTTTTGTTGACGTAATCATAGATAAGCAGACTAAGTAAATAAACGTCATACTGGTGATTTCAGCTGATAAGCTATCTCACTGTCAGATGACTGACTTATTAAATGATGGGCAAAGTTACAAAGGTGCAACTAAATGTTGAATATCCAGAGTTGTAACTTGCTGTAATATTTGTTTTTATTATTTTTGTTCAGATTGATAACAGAAAAACACCACCCCAGTAATGTACATTGCCGATAAAATTTTTAAAGTATGGGTGGAGTTTAGTTCCCCACAAACCATTACCAACTTAAGTGTAACGTTCCCTGTCCCATTGTGCAAAAATTCCATGAGGTAGTTGATGCAGGAGGCTTATTCAATTGTTCTTCTTTCATAAAGTTTTAAACCACTGGATGATAATAATATTGGCGTTGTAGATTGTAAAAATTAATTCTTATCCTGTTTACACTTACAGTCAGTCCTCATCAGATGTGTTCAAATCTACCACAGACAAATGCGTATCAGAATCTCCAGTCATTGAGACTGTCGGTTCACTCCAAGTTGAAGATGAAGGTTTCGCTGAAGAACTCATCGACTGCACCAACCATCCATCCGTTTGCCTTCCCTTCCCAAGAAAAAAGTCTGATGTGGTGTCTGATTCTGTTCAACTCCCACTTCAAGTCAAGCCTACTTGTGAATCACAGAGAGTTACTTCCTTATGTTCATCGCTCTATGAAAAAAACCAAGTTGTCCCACTAGGCCTAAATTATTCTGCGTCAAATTCAGTAAAACAACATTCAAAAGTGAGTACATAACTAACATTTGTTAAATGAGACCACTCAGAATTTATGCAAATGATACTGCACTAGATTGATTTGGTAAAACACAACACTGATAACCTTTGGGGAACTGTTATTTTTGGTGTACCACCTGTTCAGTGCTTTCAATGGTCAATTTTTAGGCATTTTACGTTTGTTTGCACAAACATAAGCTACATACGCAAGTTTATTTGAGGCTGCATTGCCTTAATCATTATAGAAACCGTTATTCTTGAGTACACCAGGAACACCAAACATCCAGTTAACGAGTTTACTGAGTTTCTAATCATTGAGTTAAAAAAAATATTCTGTCATCTCGTAGGGGAAGGTAATTTGTGTTTTCTTCGTCTTGATGGATTAGGAAATTAGCTATAGATGGAAATTCACCTACAGAAAGATGTCACAAGATTATCGCAGTGAATGTATTTCCCGATATTAATACAAGTAGCAGTCCTCCATCAACTGGTCGTATAGGATTGGATTCCATCTATTCATGTTTTTTCTCGATAGTGCCTTTGCTAGAGGATACTGTCGCACTCTTCATCTGAATGTACCTCCGTCGAGCTACAAGTATATTGTACCCATAGACTGATCGAGTTACTTTTCATGTTGCTTCAATTTGTTTGTTTTCGCATTGAAATTATGCGTGACTGATTAGAGGTTTAATTTATTATATAATGAAAATGAGTAAGCTGTTAGCACTTAGCATACCTTCAAAATCTCTTCCTCAACACTTTTACTAACCTACGTATTAGAAATAGTATACTGTGCGAATTCATGTTTTGCACGTGATTTCGATCAATTCAATACATCTGTTCTAGCTAAAAATTAAATTCTCAACTTGTGGTGTTTTATTAGTTAATTGAAATATGTCTGTTTGACCAGGAGTTCTGAAACAACATCCACTTAATCTAAGTGCTATTTGGTCATCCATTCCACCCTCTAATTGACTAATCAATATAGAACTTGACACAAAAGTAAAACAGTTGAGTTTATCACACTTTGAAAAAGCATACAAAAAGTAGAGAAAAGAAGTGTAACGAAACCATTATGTGTACGAAGGTATACAAGAAAAAGGATAACTAAACGAAAATTAGTGAAGATGTTTACTTGGTGTGGAAGACGCATGAGGGAGGATAAGTGGGTTGCTGTGACGCTCTCAACTTGTCCCCTTCATTTTTCTGATTTCTAACATCTTGAGGGACCCCAGCCAGGCAGTTTCAAATCTCTCTGTGTGCTTCAGACCGACAGCCGCAGGTATCATATATTGGTGTTGTGTTCTTATCTGACTGTCCTTGACTCTTTTCTTGCCTACTCGGATATCAGTTTACATAGGTTCGTTCTATGTCCTTAGACTAGGTGCCAGTGCGAACTTGTTCTGCAGTAATGATCTTGACAGGGGCAAATAGTGTGTCAAGCATACTAAGATTTTTGCTCAAGGTGTTCATAAGACTGCACTTTGTTAATGTCTGCGTACTCTAGATCAATGAGATTTTTCTGCGGTAACAAATTAGTCCCCTGCCGACGCACACCTGATATCGGCCTGCAAAATTTGGGCTACCGATATCCATGCTGAAAATTCCATACTTGTACCAAAAGTACAGTGTGGAATCAAGCTGTAAATCAAAATAAATAAAATAATAAATAAAGTCAACAAGGGTGCCATTTACAATCGGTGCGAGTTGTAGTGAAATGTCCGTTAGTATAGTGTAGTTTTTCTGCACTCTTCACACCCAAATGTTACCACAGCACCTCTTGTTCGACAGGGTCAAATACACCCCTTTTTGTCAAGATGTATAGCGAACGGTAGATGTGTTTGTGTTTCAGAACCTGTTGAGGGGGCTAAATGATCTGTGCTCTCTCGTAGAGGCTTGAAATTTTTCTGGTCCTCTTGTGTTTAATTTTCCAAGCTTTACTTAGTGTTAGCAAGACTGTGGAACATAAAATCCCAAGTGACATATTACCAAAAGTAGTCACCATGTGGCCGTCATAGGGAAATTTATTTCTTTTCCTGTAAATTAGGGTGATCAGTGACCTGAACGAGTCTTGGATTCCCATACACCAGCCAGTAGCGTAATTAACATAGTCAATAATTCACCACTGCTACCCTGAAATTATGAAATCAAGTCCTGTTACTTTGCCTCATTGTAAATTAGATACAGTTTTTGTAACCGGTTGTATTTGGAAGACCGACATCTAAATGTCAGTGGGGTTGGAAGTGAGGTTTTCCTCTTCCTTGAATTGATTCATTGACATGTATCAAACATCTGAATCACATCTGTACAATAATATCCATCCCGTAAGTCTTATTGGTGTTATGTTAAAAGTAGTTAGAACAATATTTATTTCCAGCGCACAATGTCTTTTTGTGTTGTTTTAGCATTCAATAAAGCCGAAGATTTCAACGAATACACGCCCTAATATTCTGGAACAGTATGCTCGTAGTACAAGTCCTTCTAATCTTTTTGATACAAATTTATCTTCAAAAGACACAAATGATTTTACCGATGAAGATGATATGGAAGGCACAGATCTACTCCATTTAATTAGTAATTCATTGGATCGATTCAATGCAATTGTCCACCCACCAGATAATTTGTCAACATTAACATCAGGTTTAGGTGAATCTCGAGGTATTTTATCAGAAAGTGACAGTAATAGTTATTCTCAAGATTGTCCATTTCCTGTTGATATTGTTGTAAAACCCTCAACGGTGAGTATATATACTTTATGTATCATTTTGTTTGTTGTCAATGGTTATATATATATATATATATATATATATATATATATATCGTCACCGAAAGTCAATACGATATACTAATGTACATCGTACCACTTCACTCTCTACAATATTACTGAAATTCTCGTGATATATGGCAACTTGATATGGTTGATTTCTGTGAAAGCTCCAAACTTCACGTGTTTGTCTTCCTGTGGTGCGTACGTTTTCAACGTTAGAATAATATTGAATTGAATTCTTGATTTTCCCGTCGATTGATTGGACCGAAGTGCTCGGTCTCAGGTTGACATGTCGGCTTCTTGTGCAGATGCTTCGACGATGTCTGCTAGCCACCATCCACCAATTGTTAGAATAATATATTTATACTTTTAACCTTGAGGACTTAGGTGTGCTGTTCAGTGATCTTTGAGAATTCTTCGTTGCCCGATCCGCAGCCTTAAAACATTGTAAATTTTTGCCTGTCTCTCTTTTTAAAAACTTTAGTTGACATTTTAATTTTAGTACTTTGTAATTTTAGCCTATGATGTCTGGTACGGTCCTATGTTATTACCTTTATTCGTAGTGCTTAGCTACTCAAAAGTCAGTTTTATTTAGTACAATTAAAAAGAACTTTTACAAATATTTTGCGTATGCATATGTGCACTATTAGCTGAGTAGCGGAATTATGCACTTTAAATTATCGTTCACTTCAATAGCAGTTTAGTCTTAATACCCACCAAGCGCTTTCGGTTTATTGTCCTTTGAAATCTAACCAGAGAAACTTGTTCTACTGAAGGACTTAAGTTAGTTCGATAGGTCTATCTCCTGTAGTATTTCTGCTTTCCAACAAATATCGTCCTTTCTGCGCGAATGTTTTTTGCTGCAAATTTTCTCATCAGTATATATTTGTCTTTCAGTGCTGGTCCAATGCCAACCATGGGTTATGCTTAATTTCTTTGTGCGTCGGTGGCACAGTGGTTAGGATTCTCGCCGACCATGCACATGGTCCGGGGTTCGAGCCCTCGCCGACGCACACCTGATATCTATGGTCGGCCTGCAAAATTTGGGCTACCGATATCCACGCTGAAAATTCCATACTTGTACCAAAAATACAGTGTGGAATCAAGCTGTAATCAAAAATAAAAAAAATAAAATAAAAAAAATATCACAATACATTTACAGATTCCATACGAAAAACATGGGATACTCTCTTCATCTGGGCTTTGTTCAGTTTTGATTTTACCCTCTAGCTATGAAAACCTGCCGTGCTAAGCATTTTTTCTCCTTCCATTGTTCGCATAATCACTATTTCCTGCATTTCTAATAATAAGCACATCTTGTTTTAGAAAGCTTTATTCGCTTTGTGTCGTTAACCTTGTGCATTCATATTCATCATCTAAATTTTCCTTCTTGGCAAACACACGCACATTGATGACCTGACGTGACCTAAACGTTAAGTCTTTGTTGAATATCTGTCTGGTCCCTAGAATATTTTCTCCCCTTTTCCTCTCTCCCCACCTCTCTCTCTGTCTCACCCTCCAGGTGACCTGAAATTAGACTAGCTAAAATCCATAACTACTTCAGCTTAACTATGACTGTCTGTGTTTGTGTGTGTGTGTGTATGTATGCTTTATTTTATTGTTAACTGAATTCAGCTAAACTGTGCGTTAACCCGAGTCTTTGTTGTTTAAGTCATCTCTTTGTTCTATACATTCTTTCCTAAATTGTGGTTAATAAAATAATCCATTTTAATATATGGATGCTGTTAATTTCTTTTGTAGCTCTCGTGTGCATCAGCATACACATGCCTTAGGTAACGATGTAGTGTAGAAGCTTAAAACAAGATTTACATTTTCATGAATACCACTACATATTCCCTTTAAAGGCAAAATTCTTATTACTGATACTTCTTTTTATTTTCTATTCAGGAATACAAAGAAAGTGTAGGTGTAGGACGTAGAGCTGCAGATATTTTTAGCAATGTATCACTATCATCTTTGAATTCTGATATGAGACAGACCATCCGTTTGTTGGATGCGAAAAACCCAAAAAGCTATATGGCTTCTGCAGTAGCAGAAACAACACCTATCGATTCAAAGTGTAACACGAGGTAAAATCTTTTGCACAATTGCAATTTTCTTGAGAATATATACTACACACCTACCTTCTGATTTTAAAAGTGTGCTGCCTTCGTTTACCCTATATTCGATTAATAGAGAATTCTTGGATGTTTATTGTTTTCAGTATTTCAGACATAGAATAGATTTTATTAAGTAGTCATAGTTTAAATACTGTTTTTCAAGAGCTTATATTTCAGATAAAATGACTGAGATTTGCAATGGTTGCGGCGGAGACAGTGATTTTAGGATTATTTATACAGTGCTACAGTTCAGTTCTGTTGTATCATAGACCCATGTACTACAACTCTGAGCAAATCCACGTGTCACTTGAATGATAAACGATGGTATTCACTAACTTACTTTTACTGATCAGTCTATAGAAGGAACCAAGATATTGAAAGGAGAGTTGTCGGTCTTGCTATATTAGGCGATGTTCAATTTATGTTACTGTGTTGTTTGGTATATGAAAAACCAGTGGCGTTGGGTACTTTCATTGGGATAACTCGAGTTCCTTACAAAATTAGACGAAGCAGTTGTCCAGTGCTCTTTGGCTTTTAGTGATTTCAATTTGTGACGAAATCTTTACCGATATTCATCGAGTTACCACAAACAAAAAATCTGGACATTCAGGTGTCCTTTTCCGAAGCGTTATAATTGATCCGGTATATGCAAAGATCAGTCGTTAGTCATGCATTTATCTTGCCTTACTTGAATAATTTGCATTTAATTGGAACTCACTTAATTAGCACATATCCTACTACACTGGCTGAATGATGGTGTTGTCTTCGTTAAAACCGACACTGTTTACGCGTATTCATTCATGAACTCTTGGTTGCGAACTAGACAGTCTCAGGTATAAAAAAATAGAATCTGAATTTTGATGCAGATTTATTCTTTTGAACAAACTTTCACAGGTCACGATCATTACAAAGCAAAAGCATTTGTGTAGGAGCAGAAAGTACAAAGTATGCATCTGAAGGAAAGTAAACTTGTAAAGTTGCATGATGACCCTTGGTTAATTTGATGAACGATGTATCGCGGGAGCCAAATACTCTATAAATAGTTTTATCGTCTCTTCTAATTGTTTAAATTGATTCCTATATGTAAATTCATAAGTAATGTTCACCTTTAGTAGTCTCTTGATTTCCCCTAATACTGCAGTCACAAAGTGTGTTGTAACGCTTGACTTAGAATCATCATATAGATTTTTCTTTCTCCTTTCAGCTGCCCATCATTCGGGCACTTGTCACTATCCTTGCCATATTCACGCTCAAATGAAGTGAGTGTAATTATAGTACTTTCACCTTTTTAATATGATACTTCACTGAGTTGTTAATATATTGTTTAGTGATTAGTATTTTTTTTCCCTATACATACATTCATATACTTCCGTATATATGATGAAAATGCCTTTATAAAACAAAAGTCGGAGAGTGTCCAAAAGGATTAGTGGTTACAAGTGGTTATTTATCTGTTTAAAGGCCTGTTATTTACTGTGAATTGAATTCATACATACATACATACATATGAGTGTTAGCAATTGCCACCGTAAGACAGAAATTTCCAGTCAGTTGAGAAAATCAAAATCAGTGTTAGTTTTCCGTTCCATTTTCTAAAAAAGAGAATTAGTTTGGAACAAAAATCAAAGTATTCAAAGGGGAAGTGGTTTAGCTTGTCTGTCTGTCTGTCTGTTTTCGACGTAGAACTTTGCACAAATGTGCGGAAGTTCAAGTCGCCACACTCCGTGTAGCACGCGAAGCAAGAGAAGAAAGTACAAGAAAAGCATAATAGAAACAGTGAGCAGAGGTGTGAGACAAAAGGAGTAATAACGAAGAACAAAACAGTTTCATTGGAGATCATAAGTCACAAGGAGTGGATGCATCTGCGCCACTGAGAACGATTTTGAGCCATGTCACCAATTGTTTCCAACCATAGATTTTTACCGTCCCGAGGACCCCAGCCTGGAAGTCTACACCTTCCTACGTGGCTTAGACCAACTGTTGTGGATTTCATTGACTGGTGCCAAGTTTTTGTTTGACCGCCGCTAGCTTTTTTCCAGCCTGACCCTATATCCGCTAACATTGCTCGTCGAGGGAGGCGATGGCTTGGCATACGTAACACATGTCCTAACCATCTCAGTCTTTGTAACTTCACGACTTCGTCGATTGATTTCCCCTGTTTACCTAGAACTCTACGCCTAACCTCATGTTGCTCACCTTATTATGCCACTTTACACGGGAAATAGAACGCAGGCACCTATGATCAAAGACAGCTAGTCTTTTCATGTCTTCCACTCTCAGTGGCCAGGTCTCACAACCATAAAGGAGGACGGAGCGGACTGATGAGCAGTACACCCGCCCTTTGGTCGATAGTCGAACATCTCGTCTACGCCAGAGTCGGCGTAAACTGGCAAATGCGAAACGAGCCCCCTGTATTCGTGCTGAGATTTCGTCAGAGATCAACCCGTTGGGGCTGATGGTACTTCCCAAATAAGTGAAGCGGTCAACGTGCTCTACCACTTCACTTCCTATTTTTAAACTAGGCGTCGATGTAGTCCAGTCCTGTAACATCATCTTGCATTTGGCGGGAGCGAATCGCATGCCAAACATTCGTAGATTGCGGCTCAAGGTGTTTAGAAGACTCTGCATTTCGTCAGCGTCTTCGCCTAGAAGGACTATATCGTCTGCATATTCCAAGTCAACGAGATTATTCCCCGGTAGCAAGTCAATCCCTGAGTCGCTGAAGTCACCTAGGGTTAAGTCCATTAACACATCTATGATGAAGTTGAATAGAAAAGGAGATAATGGGCATCCTTGACGGACACCACTGGTCGTCATCAGTTCAGATGACAGCTCGCCGTAAGCCCTCACCTGGCTGTATGAGTACGAGTAGAGTGCCTTAATCAGTGCAATATATTTTCTCGGAATTCCCTTTACAGCCAAGCATCTCCAGAGAACTTCTCGATCGACAGAGTCGAATGCTGCCTTTAGGTCAAGAAATATAATGACTGTTGGACGCCGGTAGGAATTCCTATGTTCTAGAATCTGTCGGAGGGTGAAGATATGATCAATACACCCTCTTCCTGGTCTAAAGCCTGCCTGGCTCTCTCGTGTTTGTGTCTCCCGAGCACCACTCAGTCTACGCATGATTATTGAGCCTAAGACTTTAGATACTATATTAGTCAAGCTAATCCCTCTGTGATTATCACAGGAAGACTTGTCTCCCTTCTTGTATATGGGGATAATCAGTGACTTACACCAACCCGATGGGACTTCTTCTGATTCCCAGACGCTGCCTAGTACCTCAGTTAATGCAGACAGTAAGCTGTCTCCACCGTACTTAAATACCTCTGGAGTCATTCCATCAGGTCCCGCTGCTTTGCCTAGTTTCAGATTGGTGACAGCTTTAGTAACCTCAGTTAGGGATGGAGGACCTGTGTCTATATCCCATTCAGGGAGGTGTTGGATGCTCGGAAGGTTGAGCGTGGCTGTGGGCCAATTAAACTGCTCCTCATAATGCTCTTTCCAACGATCCAGTCGTCTATCCTGGGAGCTAATTATAGTGCCATTTTTTTCCGAGATTGTTTCACTGTAGTTCTTCATGAAATACGGATTTAGTTTCCTGATCGAGCTGGGGACGTGATGGGTTTACCGCCAGCTGTTTCCTACGTCCGTTCAGTCGTAAGCACACCCGAGCGCGGACCAGTGCATGGTCGGTATCTACACACGTGTTCCAGAAGGAGCGACAATCTCCTACCGACCCACGCCAACGATAGCTTATTGCTGTTGTCTATTTGTGTCCAGCGTTGGTTTGATGAAGGGGGTCTCCAAGTCAAACAGTGTCTCTCCTTGTGTTTGAAGTTAGTGCTTACAAGAAACAAATGATTACGTGAACAGAACTGTAGGAGACGATCACCGTTGTCGGTTCGCTGGCACGGAACTCCATAGGTGCCACCGACATCCTTCTCAGATAGACACAATTTCCCTACTTGAGCGTTAAAGTCACCAGCTAGAACGACTATGTCTGAGCGTTTAGCCTTTCTCACCAAACTAGACAGCTTTTGGTAGAACTCATCCTTCGTTTCATCTGAACTGCAGTCAGTGGGGGCGTAGGCGGAGATTACGAAAAGGCATCGGCGAGTAGTGCAGTCCTTCCTCCTTTTTACTGACCCGTTCAGGCGGACAGCACACATTCGGCTATCTACCGGGATCCAGTCAAGCAGTGTCTTTTCTGCCCTAGTACTCAAAGCTATCCCTACACCAGCTAATCCTCGTGAACTGGCTGTGGCATCTCCTGACACCCTCAAGGGGAATTTTGAAGATTCATCCTGTTGGCCAGGTGGGGTTAGGTGAATAACCACACTTGGGTCTTGTATGCGTGTTTCTGAAACACAACATACATCAATGGCTCGTGATGCCAGGGTCTTGGCTAGCGATGCTTGTTGTCCTATTTGGCAAAGTGTCCTGACATTAAATGCTCCTATATGAAATTGGTGGCGTGGCTTTAGGAGACTATCGGTGGTGGTTTTTTGGCTTCCGTCGTTTTTAGTGGACACAGAGTGAAGAGGGAGTGGAGAGCTATCAAGTCGAAGAGTTGCATCAGTGGAAGGAAGGCAAGGCAATGGAGATGAAGATGAAAACAAAGATGAGTGAGTAATAGAGAGGTTTTGTGTGCGTTTCGGATTGTGAGGGCGATTGTTACTTCCTGGCTGCCCACACCGTGGAAGTTGGTTGCGTGACCGCAGAGTCCAGGGGACAACTGCTTGAGGCCGGTCACAAACGGCCTGTTTTTGTTCGTTCTTTTTTGTTTGGTGTGCCTCAGTAGCATACTAATCACTCCTGCCCTGTGACACGGCAGCAGGAATCGCGGTCGTTGTTAATCCGGGCCACGGCCGATCCGGCATGAAATTTTGTGATTTTGTATTTATCATGATGTTGGATTGGGTAGCTGCTTTTTGTTTAACCGCTATCCAAACAACGTTTCTGGCATGGTAGGACCTCAAGAGACATAAGTCTCAGCCAGTATAGCTTGAGTAGATCATTGCGGTGTTCAAGCCCGACCACCACGTCAAGGTAGCAGCTTTTGGTCGGGAAAGCAATCATCCTTAGAAAGTTAGTGTCAGTGCAATTATACGCTACCGTGCAAACCGTTGGGCGATGTATTTATATATATAATTGTACCCTCGGGTTACGAGTGGAACATAGGACTTCAACAACACATCTCCACTTTCTTCTATTTTCTGCCATTCTTTTCAACTGAGTCCACGATTGACCATAATCTCTCATCTCCTCCAACTCGTACGATCTCCTCCATGTCACCCTCGTACTGATAACCCACTCGTCGCTTCCCATTGAGATTCCACTCGAGCTATGGCCTGCATTGCTCGCGATGTCATTTGACAGTCTCCTCATCATATATCCAATCCATCTCAATTTTCGCTTACATATTTGTTGAACGATCGGCTCCTGGTTGGTTTGTTGCCTACCAGTCAGAGTTTCTCGTTGCTGATTCTTTCTCGCTGACCGATTGGCCACTTGATCTTCAGTATGGAGCTAGCCAGCGAAGGTGACAGCTGTTGATGAAAGTCTTCAGTAACATATTGGGAATCTTTTTCGTGAATATCACGCGGTGCAAGTTTCTGACTTATATAGAAGAACTGACTGATTTGACATTTGTGTTGAAAATCCGAATCTCGTTCTTCATGCTGGCTGAGTGAGCGGAGAAGATTTCCAAACTGGTTTCAGGTTGGTGAAGGTGTAGCTTGCATTCTGTATTCTGACTGGATGGCTATGACATCTTCATCCGTGCGGTGTGCCTGTGTTTGAAACCGTGCTTCCTAGATAAGTGAGGGAGGTGACCTCAGTCGAATTTCTCCCATTGATAGTGATTGGTGTTTGTTGTTGTTGTTATTGTCAGTGTTGGTTGTTTATCTTCATCACCTCTGTCTTCTCCATGTTCACCTGGAGTCCTGTCTTTGCTGCCTATCAGCCTCTTCATCCAGTTTGTTGGTTTTCGCCTGCTGGTGAGTCTCCGATTTTGTGTGACATTACAGATAGTTCATCTGTGAAATCCAGATATTCTTGAGTCTTCTTTGTTGGTGGTCCAACGTATTCCTGTCTCCTCACTCCCGAGCACAGTCTTTCACATTATCCAGTTCACCACAATTAAGAATATCATCGATGATAATAAGCACCCTTGTCTCACTGAGTTTTCCGTTGTAGATCATCTGACTCGTGGCATTGTTATATAGCTATTGGAATAAGGTTGATGAAGACTTGCGTCTTGCCTCGTCTAGTTAACTAGCTTCCTAGTTTTCTAGTCAGTCGCAAGCCCGGGTAAATAGGGAGGGTTGGGGATGCGGCTAGCTACACCTCACCATAAAAGTTATCAAACTGCTAGAGAAATTGAAATGAAAACCTGGTTGCGGCATGGTCATTAACTTGCATTTGTCACCAAAGCTTAAGGTGTATCAGCGTTACTGATGTCTCCTTCCAGTTATTTATAAAATATACCTAAAACTCACTTTTTCCAATCATTTAGCATTAGACTAATCAATGTTTTTTTTTCTCCTCATCTACATAGGTCACTATTGCTTCTTATCAACAACCTGTGGAAAAGACTACAGCATATTATCCAAACTATTCGTCAGCTATTCCAATAGGCAATACTTCTGATAATGTTCTTAGTGAACTAGTTGGTGGCTGTTCAATACGCTCAAATAATAATCTGATGGATAAGTCCAAAGCATATTGGCCAAATTTACTTGTTAGTAGCCAAAGTAATTCAAAGGTTTTAACTCCACCAATAGAATCATCAAACAGTTTCTTAACTGATTTGATTACTAACAATAAAAATGTACTAACGGACAATGATATAGATATGTTAAAATATTTAAATCTTGATTTGGATTCTCTTATAACTACTTCTGGTGCAACAACAATAATGAATAATACGGCTGATTCTACTACTAATACTATTACACCTAGTACTGCTATTAATTCTACCGCTAGTGTCAATCATTCTCCTCTTCATTCTCAACATCATCGTCATCACCAACATTGTCTCCGTGATATGAGTCGATATGATGATTGTAACTGGGCTATAAACGATGCGAATAAATGCAAATCAATGAATTTATTTACTAATAATACAGAAGATGAAAATATGTGGGACAGTAACAAATCATTTCATTCTAATATACCAATGCTTAAAACACAATCATTAGTAAGACAACCATTGCAAACTGCACACCAGTCCATTGTGTCATCATTACCTTCTAGTTTATTATTATTACAACATCCTAAAAATATATCAACAAGCTCAATAGATATGATGAAATATGACAGTGCAAATAGCAATCCAGACAAAATTTTCATAAATTCATGTGACAATAATATAATGTTTAGTTCAAAATGCGTTAGTATTCCTAGCAATAGAAATGGCAAGACTCATCCTACTCCGTCATACTCGCTTACATCTGGTCATTGGTGTACAGGTAGGTCTCTCTCTCTCTCTCTATATATATATATATATATTACAGCAAAGACACTTGTTACACAACCATATGTTATAGGTTTTTTAAGTCTCGTGCTCATTTTCGACACCTTGAATAGGTGAATAGTATCACCAGCCCTTTCACCGCTTTCATACAGGTTGTGACTTGATGAATTGTGGAACTGTAATTTATTGTCTCTTAAACAATTGAGTCAAGAGTTTGTGTATAATCTCAGTCCTAAGTATTACCGTTCAGTCTCTCCAACCACACACACGCACATTCGTGCACTTACTGTAATTGTACTTACTATTTTATTTGTTAAGCAATAATCGATTTACTGTGTTTTGTTAGCTAGTCAAAGGTCTTATGCTGAATTTATTTCATTTATATTTGTCTATTCCCAAAGTCTATTTTGACTTTGTACACTAATCGCATATCACTTTTTTCTCACATAGAATCTGTGACGTGAATAAACTGAAATGTTATATTATTTATGATAATGTCAGTATCATTAATAGCCAATACACACTACAGATGATTAAATTCCACTACAATTTTTGAATGCATTTAAACAAGCAAGATCTAAAGAATTTGATAGAGGTTTGAAATTTTATTAACTGCATATGGCTGAATACAATTAAGATTTTGAAATCATACTGATGAAATGCTAATGAAAATAAAATAGTCATAGAAAATGTAGAATTGTTTAAGATGTAGATTTTTAATATGGACATTTTAAAAGATAAATTAGTAGATGCTTCATACAACAACAAAAAATGGTCAGAAGGACTCAGTGTGAGAGAGTAAAGTTACTTACGTTGTTATGATGCTGTCTGAAGGTTACACAAAATCAGTATAATTTCTATTGGTTTAAACGCACCTCAATTATTCATTCACATAGTGCTTTAGATTCCTGATGTAAATGAAAGTAGTAGTGATTTTACCGAATACTTCTGCCTCACTCTAACAGATGTTTTGATCAATATCACCATTACTAGAATTGCCGCTAACCAACATGCCTTTTGTACAGTGTACTTTATTTTTCATGAACAGAATGTTACTTTGAGTCGAATTTCACACCACGCCACGTACATTTTTTTTCCAGAATCTTCGAATAACCTGGAGTGCGATTCAAAGGAAATGTTGCTATCAGCACGCTCACATTCGGCTGGTTATCATCAGAGTACCTCTGTCTGTACAACATCGGCATCTCCATTTCCTATCAGCCAAACACCATCTACAGTTACTATGAGTCATTCTGTAACCACGCCAAATAACTCTACCACAAACTGTTTACCAATACTTGGGCACTCTGCGTCAGCGTCATCTAATAAGATGAAAGCATCTTTGGGTGGTCTACCCCCTATAAGAAATCTCAATGGACCACAAGACGTATGTTCTTTGTATATACTAAGTGTATTTCTCCATTTTTGCTTCGTTTCTTATTCTTTTTGTCATGAAATGACTAACCTATGGTTTTTTGTTGGAGCATCATGAAAAACCATGTGGTTATCGAAATTCATTATAATTCATAAGGTTAATAATTTGTGACTGCAAAATACCTCATCTGTACTTTGATTTTCTGTCATCTAGTATGCGGAAAAAATGACGATAAACGTCTGTATCAATCAGCCTACTTTTTAGGTAATTCAAACACAAATTGTGGAACTATTAGTTTACTCATGTCATTTAAAACCAGCAACTAAAGTTAATAAAGTTAGACTGGATGTGTTAAATTGACTTTTCGGTTAACGACTATCGTAATCTGATAAACACAAATATCAGTGGAAGTCAGTGTCATTTGGATCAGAATTATCTCTGTTTTGACTCCTTAGAATCTTTGCTTTATCTTCATTGTCTCCACAACTTTTCCAAAGCTTTTATTCCTTTCCGATTTTAGGGACATCGAAATACACACGGTCGACGACATAATAATAGCATGACTGCAGGACTTGGCAATAATTCAGTCTCATCAATATCTGCTTTGAATACAGTCAAGTCCTCAAATGGTTTATCAAATTCAATATCGAATTCTCATCTGTCTAACAGTAAATCACTTACACATTGTCATTCAAGTAATCAGGCAACAACAGTAACAACTGACTCCACGTCATTATGTCCTGGTACAGAACTAGTCAATGGAAAACCAGTTGTGGCCAAATGGCGTCGGGCATGTAGCTTTTATTTACGTGGACATTGTAAAAAAGAGGACTGTGAATTCGCACATGATTTAACAAAGGTGACTTGTAAATTTTGGGAAATGGGTGAATGTTTCAAAGGATCAACCTGTCCATTTCTACATGGTTATCCACCAGAATTGACTATGGAGTAGTAAACATTTAGTATAATATTCATTCATCGCAGCTCCCATGCTTTGTTCAATTTTTTTCCCCCACTCTGAAGTGTATTTTTTCCCAAAAAACGCGCGTATCTTTAAGAATTCGTGTTTAGTCAAGTTTAATAAATTAGTCTATTGGTGTTTTCAATTATTATGTCAAAGGGAGATGAAAAGATGATTACAGGGTAGAAAGAAGAAGAAGAAGAAGGCGGGGCGCGACAACGACAAGTTTTTTAACTGCATTTTATAACTTTCTTCTTTTTTATATGAAGTATAATTTGCATCACTTTGTACACATTCTGGAGGTATATTTTTCTTTAACAGTAATGATATGCTTGTACCCTAAAGCCCTGGTCATCACAGAAGGGGACAGAAGTGTTCATAAACATTTTGTCTTTGTTCACCTGCGCGTATTACATCTATATGCATTGTTTTGAGATTATCTGACTAACTTAAAACAAAAGAGAATCACTATTATTATCATAATTAATATGCCTTGTCATTACTTTTACTAATATCATTAACTTACCTTTTTTTTCTGCCAAATGTTTATATATTTCTTGATATTTAAGACGACTCAGAAACAAACTGCTGCTCATCTTTTTTTTTAAACAAAAGAAAATCCTATCGGCGAAACTACTACTACTACTCTCTTTTTAAGAAAACAAGGACGCAATATATAATTTCAAAGTTCACCACCTCTATCTATCCCTTTTATATATTTTATACATGTGTGAAAGTACTTGTGTTGTCCTACTTTCACTTTTTAACTGTGAAAAGATACCGGCCATGCAACTAATTTATTATTTCCACATTCACAGAATCTCTCATCTCTTCTTTATTTTATACTTGCTGTTGTTATAACCTGCTTTCCTTTTCACAGTTGCACACATCCTTCAGTCAATTGGCATAAAATAGGCGCTCTGATCATCTTTTGCTCATTTTGTACACACCAGTGAGAGAGAGAGACAGAGAGATAACAGACGACGCCTACACTTTCTTTGGAATTTTATTCTTTATTCTTTTTTTTTTTAATAGACGAGATTTCCCTATAATATATGTTTATTTCTTCAAGATGATTTGTTAACTTCATTTCATATAATATTTTAGGTTCTACATATTATATGTGGTGTGTGTTGGGGATGGATGACCAAACACATTTCTATACTTTGTAGGCATTTTAACTATCAGACATTTTTATCAGTGTGGCCGAGTGTGTTTCTCTGCTGTTTTATTATTTCTTCCTCTCGCTGCAAGTATATTTTGTCTCTTTTCTGTTGGTGGATCTCATCACATACGTGTGATGTTATTTCCTTGGCTTTCATTCACCACTTAATAGTGGAAAAGTTTGGATCAGGGCATATCGATAGGATGAAGCAATAAAATAACCCCCCTAATATTGAGATAATAATATTAATAATATGTGTTTTTTTTGTAATAATAATAATAATAATAATATCATTATTATTACTAACTACTCTAAGTTTGCTATTTTCTGGAATTTCTTCATATTTGATTACCGAACAAGAGTAATGGAGTTGAACGTTGAGTGTGTACACAGATATCTCATTATACTTTCTTATTTTAATTTATTTCGGATTTGAAATTTTAAGAGAAATGAGGAGAAAAAAAACCTTTAATTATTAGTATTATTACGTTTGTTTTCATCTATTTATTTATTTTTCGTCCTGGTGTCTCAGGTACACATTCCTAAGATGCACACTTCCCTTATTTTATCTCCGTCTCTCTCTCTCTCTCTCTCCCTCTTAAGCATTTATTTTTTCCCTCTCATCTCCTCTTCAAAATACGGTACAGAGAGAAATATTAATTAATATGTATTCATAATGTCATCCAGATATTTTGAATATTGCAGCATCAATTTGTTGAAGGTGGTAAGAGAAGAAAACTGTTTGAAGGACGTCAGTTTGTTCTCCCTCTCTCTCTCTCTCTCTTTCCGTGTCTCTATCTTTATTCCTCCAACTTTTGTGCAAATGTATTCACTGATTATAGAATTCTGGTTTATCTTTTTCTTCTGTTTTGCAACCTCTAATATTCTGTTTTTTCCGTTATTTATGTATGTGTGTGTATCCGTAAGACCACAGCAATCATCGCTAATCCGTTTAGTCAACAGCTATTTCCTTGTCGGATTTTTATGTATTCATCACCAGGTTTCTGTCTACAACTCCTCTTGTCTCCTTCAATCCTCTACCCGCTGCTGCCAATGATGATGAGATGTCTGTCTTAACAACACTGAAGCGGAGACAATGGACTATTTATAAGAGAAAAAGATGAAAGGAGGAGTTATGTGTTATATTTCAATTCTCTCAGTCTCTTTCACCTCCCATCAATTATTAAGATGTAATAATTGCTCAGTTTGCAAGAAAAGGGAATAAGTTTACATTGTGCAACACACATTATATACATATATGTGAACAAAAAAAACAATTATCCTGTTTTCCTTTTTTTCATATGAATAAAAAAATACTTTGCTCAAAATTGTGTTGTGTGAATTCTGTACTTCTCTAAAGTAGTTCTTTGGACTGTTTAAGTACAGTAAATGGTTTTAGCCAAGAAATAAGCGATTAGAAGAAAGCGGTAAGAGTGCACACCACCACTACTGTCTACGATTGCATGTATATACTAACACTTGTATTGTATTCCTTGTCGATAATTCTGGCCTTGTTATTACGTGTAGTTGTTCAAATTTTTCTATTCGGCATTTGTTCTAATATTCTGGTAGGTTGTAAGAAAACTGTGCGAAAAAAAAATAGATGCGATGTGATTATTACCCAGTGGCTTTATTTGTACTCTATAGTCAATTGGTGTAAAGGTGGATTTTTGATGTCAGAAAACACAGATATTGCAATACTGCTGCACAACTGTCAGTCGTGCTAACTCCTCTCCAACATGGAGACTAACATCTCTCTCTAAATGACTGGAAATAATCATGAACTATGATTGACTTTGGGTTTAGATGTAACTATCGCGGTATGTATTTGGTACATACTGAGGTAGTCTGACTGGAGCCTTATCCATTAACTTGTTTTCTTCACTTCACATACTTTTTAATCTATCTGGACTTGTTGTATGGTTGTTTTTCCTCGCTCTCAGGAATTATTCTGCGACTTGGACAAATATTCGCCTTTGATGCCTGTGTTTGACATCCTGTATTATAGTGCGGAGTGTATTGTTATGTTATACACCTGACGTTTACTGTTTCTATAGATGTCTGAGTAATTTAAATGGGGTGTTCCGAAGCAGCATATGATGAGTAAATCATTCCAAATATTTTGAAACTATCATTATAAGTTCAGGATGTGTCTGTTTGCCTGAAAAGATTTTGTGCTATAATATGCGGTCGAAGCATGTAAATCCCGAGCATATACTAGAGCCAGACATTTGGCTGAAATTAGTTTGAATTATTATCTGGGGAGAGTAATGATAAAAATTTGATCATATCAGTTGTTTGTCTGGCGGCAGAAGTACATAGATTCTTAACTATACGAGAAATTAAAATCTAAACTGAGGAAAGCAATTAACAATTGGGATGATGAACGTCTTCCATTGGCAATAAAGCGACAGGTCCTACATTAAAAAACCTCAGTTTTTCAGAGAAAAACATTGTGTTAGGGGCCCAACTTACTGTTAACAGAATAGATGTCTCAATGAGAAACTTAATCCTCTCAGATTGCCTTATAAAGGACCAGACTTCAATGTAGCGTTATTTCAATTTAACCCTGAGTGCGTTATCTGCAGCATCAAAGTAGTGTAGGCGAGAATGGGCGACATCCTATTGATCAAGTAAGTGAAGTAAAGCAAAGTTCTTCGGGGTCACGAGTATCCCAGAGAAACTCAGAAAACCGCAACAGCATATTAATTACCATGTCTGATAAAGGCGACACTAAGTCAATGAGCATATTTAGGGAGTTGTGATATCCTTAGATGCAGTTATGAATAAGATTAAGAAACACTCAGTGAATCTTGTTCATCGGGTGGAGTAACATTTATATGAGTATCCAGAACTAATACTCCTGATAGGATATTTTCTATCTTTAAAATTTACAAATCATGTCTTCTTATTAGGGTTATAGTTAACTTTGGAAACGCACTAATACGTGCATAATGCGAATATTTAGCAAAAATTGTTATGTCTGGTTAGAAATGACATGGATTTCGAGAATTATGTACAAACATTTCAACTTGTTCCAAAATATGACGGAGTTACTCAGGTGACATCCACTGTGTTGTAAGCTCGAATGTACAAATTTATTCACATTAGAAGTCATTCATTCCATGCGTTCTGAGCAGGACGTAGGGATTCAGTAACACGTTTGCATTGCCTTCTGTCCTCTGCTCTCACTTGGGGCTGATTCCACAAGTTCTGATATCCTCCTGATATAACCGTCTTTATGTAACCCTCGAACACCCACCTTGTCGTTACCCATACAGATTCTACTCAAGGGTCTACGTTTAATGTCACCTCGGTGTATACATCGCATATTTTATTTATATTCATATTTGTTGAGTCGAAAGGTGTTATAACTGTAGGGAATTGAATGAAGACGTTTTCACCTTATTCTGTCTGCGCCTGAACTAATCTGCCTATCTGCTCGTCGTACCTTCCGACTTAGTAAAGCACGCAAATATCAAAAGACAAAGGCTGGACTGTGACTGTGTATTGAAGTGCAACAACGATAAAGAAAGCCATGGTATTTATACATTTTACAACAATATGGACAGCTAACAGCATTTGAAATAATTTATCTTAATAGCCAATAACAAAGTGCGTGAGAGATGATAATATACCATATGTGCGAGGTTGACAGTCAGTAACAAAATGTGTGGGAATGATAATATACCATATATACAAGATTAGCAGTCACTACCAAAATGTGTGAGAATGATAATATACCATATATACAAAATTAGCAGTCACTACCAAAATGTGTGAGAATGATAACATACCATATATACAAAATTAAACAGTCAATACCAAAATATGTGGGATCCTATCACCTCTCCCCGTAAAGAGTGTAGGACTTGCTTTTTGGATCTATTTGAAAAGGTTTCGGAGCTCTTCTTTGTCGAGTTGACCTTTGCGTGGTACTGGATAGAGCGTGATCTGTGTGTCTGACACATAACTGTCCTTTTTCATTCGTACGATAATGCAGCAAGAATTTATCCAAAATTTCTTCTGTTGTTCCCTCCCCCTTCGCTTTTGCATAAGCACGCTTAAGGGTGTCGACGAAACGTTCAGTCTGTCCATTCGATTGGGGATGATACGGGGGGCTACGAATATGCTGGATGCCAAACAGTTTGCAGCAACCAAGTTTGTCCTGGAAGACAGAAGCGTGCTTTTGACGACGGCGTTGCAAGAGAGATTGATCAGATACATCTCCGGGAACAACGTTGTGTGGTGAAGACGAAACATTAGAGCATACTGAATTTAATGGTACATTAAAGATATGGAGCTTGTCTAACCAGTCAAGACCAAGCAAATCCAAATCATGGTAGTTTGTAACGTAACATACACCATTGAAGTGATGCTCACCAAACTGAACCTGGCAATTGATCTCACCCACGAGTTTCAGTATATCTCCAGAGACATTCTTGGCGACATGCTCGGTCGGCAGAATCTGTGGGCAACCAAGTTTGCGCCACGTAGTTCGGGAAATTACGGTGATATCTGATGCCGTATCCAACTGAAGACGAATACGTTTGCCGTTAATATCTAGTGTTATGTACTTACGTTTGCTGGCGAACTCGACTTTGGAAGTAGTGAAAACGGTCTGTACTCGAGGAGATTGTTTCGGCTTGAAACGACTACTTCTGTTCCTCACCGAAGAATTTTTCTGCGGTGTACAGTAACCCTCCTTATGTCCAAAACGGTGACAATTACGGCATTTATGTTTCTTGAAAGGACAGAACTTGACAAAATGCCACGAACCACAGTGCCAGCACACTGAAGGAGGTTTAGCTGAATTTTGAGACTGACGTTCTGTGTGCTTAACGGTGATCGGAGGACTTTTCACTGTGTTAATCGAACCAAATTCAGACGACTGTCGTTTGCAC